GTGTGTGTGTGTGTGTGTGTGTGTGTGTGTGTGTGTGTGTGTGTGTGTGTGTTTACTCACTCGACCAACCCCAGGGGCTGTACATCTGTATATCGGCTGCCCTTTTACTTTTACCATTCCGAACTTGTTCTATGAGGTAGTGCTGCTTTAATAGAGCACTATTCAATCGATTATGATTTCTGAAACATAGTCGAATCCGGTGTGTCTCCTCCCCCCCCCCTCCCAATTCCAAACCTTAAAGAGGCTCCCACGTTGCATAAATCTAAGGCAAAAAAACTTGCCAACTGATTACTTCTAGTTTTAGCCATCATAAAAATAAGCAGACACATTAACCTCATCAGCATTATCAGCAGTAGCAGCTACCACGTAAAAGCAGCAACACCAACAGCAGAAGCAGCTGCAGCGGCAGCATAATAATAACCTTTATAATCTTTATGACCATCAGTTTCATTATACAGATACATTGGCCTTGTGACTAAGGAGACAAGAGCTCAGAGGGTTAAGGTGTGGCTACCGTCTGTGGTAAAAATATGTGTCACGACGCAGTGGATTCAGGCTCTCGTCAATTTTGGGGCATATGGAGTTATTGGTATCATCTTAAAGCTTGTCCATTTACCTTGCTATAAATGAAATCAATATCTATTTATCTTGGATACAAGGCAAGGTATTGGTGATTGAAGGAATTGGGGTGGCCTGGTTTTAGAGGTAAAATTAGTGAGAAAATGGCCGCCAAAGTTGAGTGATTTCCTAAGCTTGAGAGCCCATGGAAACTTAAAATTTACATTTCTTATGCCTTAAATCAACGTTTTTCAGCACAATCCTCACAGAAATGTTCTTTAGGCATCCAAAAAAGAAAAATCCAATAAAAATAAATAAACCAGTGGAAAAATGGCGGTTTCTCCATTTTCACTATTTTGACGAGTGCCTGATTTAATCACGTTGCTTCTCATATACTTTCCATCCATAAAATGTATTAATAGTACTGTGTACCTGCCAAGCTCTAGCGCCTGCGACATATTGGTACGGGTCTTCCCCAAAGAGATTTAAAAGGCAAAATTTGAATGCTTCGTTCAATCATCAGTTTCCGTAACAGGGCAGGCCTCAAAACGTTATAACATGACCTCATCTCTTGTTCCAGCCGCCGAGGGTCAAGAGGACTCAGTCACGGGACAAGACACCAAGCAACGATCTAGAATGGAGACCATCCCACGCAAACACGGGTCTCATGGTAAATTGATTTATTGTCACAATGTCAAACTCAAAAGTGCGGTCAAAATATTGTGGCTCAACTTTTTGCCAAATTCCTCCCCGTCTATAGACTATTTAGACACTCAAATTTTTGCACTGTGATTTATGTCAATTTGTCTGAACAGATGAATATCTTTACACCTGTTAGTCGTATTCTAGAAAATTCTTTAGTTCGATACCATCGACCACGAAATTTTACTAGGGAGATTGGAAAAGTCATTTTTACTATCAGGCACTGTTCTAATGTGGTTTAAAT